AAAAGTACATGCAAGAGACTTTTTTTTTAACATATTTGAAATTCATTAACAAGAAGGCAACAATGGCTGATGTTTGAACTTGGGAGGAATGGGTCGTAGTGAAAGCTCATGCATTCAACAGCAGTTTAGTGTGTTTTCTTAAACCGTTCTTTCAATGACGAGCTGAATACAGCAGCGTGAATGGAGTGTTGTAATTAAAGTATTTAAGGACACTTCTAGCTCACCTCTGAAGCTGTTTTTGGAGAAGAGAAAATATTGTATGTAGTGGAAGTCATTAAAGTCTTTAAACAATTGGGATGTAAAGTGATTTGAAGTTTCTCAACTCAAACTTTTCCCACACAATAAAAAAACTGAAAAGTCCTTGTTTTAGGAATGTATATGAGGTGGAAGTGAAAGCGATTCGTCTTTGCTCGTGTCCTATTCCAGCCTGTCCCAGAAAACAAAAACAGAAATGAAGAGTTGATTCGTCTAAGTGATGTCATCAAATTGAACTTTTTGGGGGATTTACTGACTGGGAAATAAGACACAATTAATTAGATTAATAGATAGATTCACGACCAGTTAAGGATTCATTTAGAGCTCCAGTCTGACAGCCTCCCCAGCACCCATAATGATGATGATGATGAGTTTTATGAGTATATCGCAATAAAAATGTGGTTTGATGACCATTTGAACAGGTTCCAGGTTTTTTGAAGAATAGCAAGGGCAGTAAGCGGCATAGGCAAAGGTCATCCTTAATAACCTCTGATGTACACCCAGTCGTCGTTGTTATTATTATTATTATTATTATTATTCTGGAAGCAGCCTTGAAATGTGACAGAAACTGCTCAGTTCAGAAAAGATACCTAGTAGGTGGGAAAGAGTTAAGGTGCTAAAGGCCAGCATCCAGTAAGTCGAAGCATATTTGATGCCCATTATAACTAGAAGTGACTGTAGTGGTGTTGGATTACACAAAGCATAGCAACTGTTTACAATGCCAGCAATATTTTAATGTGAATTAACAAGGTAACAATAATATATCCAAACCAGTGCAGTTACTCCTCCATTAATATCGGTAAACGAAATATCACTGAGTGTTCAGACACTGCTGTTACAGACGGGGATTTTAGCATACTCGTCTGTCTGGTTGTTCCACATCTGAAGCCTCTCCGCTGGCTGCTTTGGTGCGTCACTTGGTTGGCCTTGTTGTTTTCGCTGTGGTTTCTAGTTGCTAGCTAGCAGCTCCCTGTGGATAAGTGATGCCGTGCCCCTGGCTGCAGTTCACACACTCACCCTGCCTCTCTTTTTCAGGCAGCAAGAGGGGGGTGGGGGGCGGGAGAGAGAGAGAGAGGGCGAGAGGATGTTTACCATGCTGTGGAGCTGCCTGCTTCCCAGCTTGTCTGCCTGAGCCCCAGCCTCAGACCAGAGACAGAGAGAGGGAGAGACATAGGGGGAGGGAGCACGGCATCTTTCTTTCCTTCCCTCCCTCCCTCCCTCTTTTAGCGCCGATTTTCCCTTCCTCCACTCTTGCTTTTATATTTCTTGTCTTCGCCTGCCCTCTAAAGGCCAAAGGGCTTTGCGCTCTGTATGTAAATGCCTGTGTGGTGTGAAACAGCCAGACTGCATCTGGCTGGTGCATTCACTCAGCATGTGAATTTCCTCCCTCCGCTAGTAGCTTCAGAGCTTAGGTTATAGTGGGGTATTTTTGCATCAAACACACACGCACAAACACACACACACAGAGGTTGGTGTAATTACCCTATGCTCTCATGTAATCCCCCAGGTGCAGTATTTATCTCCACTGCAGCATATCTGACACCCAGCGCCAATACCTGGATTCACTTCAGTCACAGTCCCTGCACCAAAACCATTCCTCAGGCGGTAGTCTCATAACACTGTGTTGTATACATGTATTACATTATAAGCAGCACGTGATGCTATTTCCGTGTCTTCTGTTATGTTGAAATATGTAATTTAGCATTGGATATGACCATTGACATCTGTATCGAGTGCAGTAGAGTTGTGTGGTGGAACATTAGAGGGTGTCTTACGTCCTATGATGGATAATAAGGAGCGACTGATTCTTCTGTTCAGTCGATGGAACGAGTAAAAACAAATATGAAAAGGTGAAAGACAGGAGCTGACGCTTAATGGAAATAAGGCAGGTTATCATGCAAATGTGACAAACTGCAGACACTGTCACACAGTCAGTTGTGTGTTCTACAAACAAACATGCAGCCTTCAAACAGTCAGCCTCGCGGGCTTTCTGGCAAGCCGAGCCCAAGCCCGTGCTAGGGTGGCCCCTTCCTCCCCATCACCAGTGTCATCACGTTGGTTGAAGCCTGTCTGTTAGTGGGGTTTAATGTGATGATGGTGGAGAATACTGGGGGGAAAAGCACACACGTTATCACTTTATTTTTTTGTTTTTATTCTAGTGCAAGATTTCTTTTGTCTGATTGTAAATTACAAATGTATTGTCTTATAATGCAAGTGATGCTTTGTATGGTTATTGTCCCCACATGTCCTTTTTCATCCAGTGTGCATTTCTTGCACTATTTCTAATATGATTTTTGCCCTCTCTTGTTCGTTTTTATGTTTTCTTTGCTCAATAGCAGCTTAAAGGTCATTGCATTGCAGCTAAAGAGGACTGCTGCTTTCATAGTCGATGAAAAGAGAAGAATTAAGTAGGAGTGATTGAATTGAACCTTGTATTTCCTCTTTACTTATTTCCACTTTAAGTTGAAAACACTCTACAAAGTGCTTGGGTTCATGGCACAAACTTACAGCCCACTTGTGGAGCTCTATTAAGCACGGAGTTTCTCAAAGGAACACACAACAGGGTATATTGTGAAAAAGGAAAAAAGCACTACTTAGAAAGCCGTCCCTTATTTTTCATTTTATTTTATTTTTTAAGAGATAATATAGAAAATACAGAAAAGACAAAAGATCCCCACCCCTTCTTCAGCTAACACTTGAACGTCGACCTGAAACTTTCTACAATGTGTCAGGCCAGGGTTGATTTCACACATTACAGTGGATGAGTGTAATGGCGAAGACAGCTTGTTATAGAAACCTGGTGATTATGACCTGCTGTGAACAATCTCACTCTGTTTCACATACACCGCTCTGCTTCTTCTCCCCGCTCGCCTCCCCCCACCCTCCACCTTTCTCCTGTGGCCACTTTGATCAAATCTGCGCTCTTACGTCCTTGACTGCTGCCCCCGACGCCTGACCCCAGCATTCGAAATTTGCTCGCTTATGTAAAAGTTTATGTAGATTAATGCCACAATTTATGCAGATTGAGTTTTTGCCACTCAGACTTGAAGCACTAAAAGGTAGATGAGCGTTGACCTTCCCCACTAACGGCTACGTGAGCTCTCATCGATTATCTCATAACTGCTACAAACAGTGTAGCAGACAGAGGGATGAAGAGCAATTTCAAATTTCATAATGTTTCATTTTTAAACTTTTTTTTAAGTGTCGCTTAGAGGAGAGAGAAAAAAGGATGGCTTTTTATAAAAATGGAATCTGGGAGGCTTAGTAAGTGCGGTTTATGTCACAATGCAACACACGCACATGATCGTCCCTCCTTTAAAACATCATGCTTCCTGCAGCCCCACAGTGTCTGTCAAACAGAAACAACTGCCAGCAGTGGTATCGAGCAGTCTTTCAGCTGTCTGTGTGTCATTCCGAGCCTCCACAGAGCCGTAAACTTGCTCACAAGTGGCACCAGCATTGCCGAGGTTGAACAGTCAAGTGCCATCAAAAGCAGTTTGCCACAGAAATGGGTCTGTGTGAAAGCAAACAAAGGGCTCACACTTGACTCGACCCGCTCCACGTAGGCTAAATGCACAGGGGCTTGTCTGACACTGGAAAATGGCTTTCAGCCTGAACAGAGAAGCAGAAGAGTAGAGCGTAGAGGAAGGTGGAGGGAGGGGGGGTGAATGTCACCATTATAACTTTGCTGGCTTTCTAAAAGGAGACGGAAAAAGTGTTACATTCAAGCAGAGACTGTCATCTTCAGTTTGAATGTAGTGAAGCATGTCTGAAAGGGCCATGTCAGGGTTATTGGAGGTGTTTTTGAATGTATAGAAATTCCCGGAAGCTACGAGCCTATATGGAGTGTTTGCAGCACAATAACAGATGTTATGGATTAATGCGTAACTTGAGTGGCGTTATTGTTACAAGCCACTTTTTTTATTTTTTGTATCACAAGCTTAACAGATCAATTTGCTGATGTCACAGTCACTAGTTAGTCATCCCCCCCAGTAGCACCCTGTTCTCTGATGAGCTCCCTCACAGGAGCACATAAAAGGAAGGAAAAGCAGACCCTTCATCAGGTCACTAACCCTTACACAAACACAAAGTGACCCGCCAGTCAGAGAGTTGAGACAAGGTGTCAGCTGATGTTACTGCTGAAGTGAGCTAAAAGCCTCAGCTGGCAGTGAGTGCCACTGGGACAACAGCTGTTCATTTAAACTCTCTGCTTCACACACTGTTTTTTGTTTGGGGTTGGGGACTCTCCGTCACTGTATCTGTGTACTGTTAGTGCGCACACACAGGAATGCACAATTTAGATCGGTTGCGGCGTCTTGCCGTTGACCCGTGTTGTCTCTTATGCCTTATTTGATAATGACGCTGCAGTCGAAGGTAGCTTTGGCTGCATGTCAGTTTTATCTGTGCTACTGTTGTCACTGATGCTTCTGTTTACATTACACTCATTAACACCAAAGTCTCAGACCAAACTGCCACTTAAAAATATTTAAAATCGGATTTTTTTTCTACTGCACCGTAGCTTCAAGTACATGTTAACCTGTGTTTCTAATGTTCTGCCTTAATTTTTACAAAAGCACTTTCACATATGGAGACTTATGACAGTAGTGCCTCCCTAACTGTTGTCATTGTCGCTTTGAAGACTATGGAGTAATGTTTTGTCGTATCAGAACAAATAGTTTTAATTTGTGTTTTAAAAATAAAAAAGTTTGTGTGATCTGATCCTGTACATCTCTGTCCCATCTTAGGATCTGTCCTTCTACGCCAGACGGATGGCCACGGTCGGGTCCCGCTGGATCTAGTCTCTGAGCCAAGTCAGAGGGAAGAGCTCCTCCATAGTGCACAGCTTGGAGACACAAAGTTTTTGAGAAATAAAGCAACTGAAGTTAACCTTCCCCTCTTGGAGGCTGGATCATCTCTGCTGTCCCTACTCATTTTCTCCTACCTCAGGGAAACAGGCATTCCTCACCACACACCAACCAGCGACAAGCACCACAGCCTGGGCTACCGGCTGGTCAGGGCACTGGAGAGGCACTCCTTCCAAAAAGTGACTCAGGGCTGGGCAGACCAGCGGGCAGTGAGGCTGGTAGAAGATGTAGAGACATTGTGGGAGCTCAGCCAAGGGAAGTACCAGGGACAGGTGTCTCAGGGTGTAATAGAGTGCAAAGGAGAGAACACACAGTTCCTGATGAGGGTATTAGAGGATCTTAGGTCGCGAGGAGAAGCACTAGTAGGTGATCTGTAAGGTTAAAGGATCACTTTACACCACACTGAAGCTGACTTAAATGCATAACCTGTGAGTGAAAGTGAACAAAAAGGTAACTTTTTATTACATGGTCCTAAAATTTGCCAGGGCCTTAAAATAGGTCCACAGGGCAAAAAATAAGTCTTCCTGTGGATATCTGCCTCTAAAGCAAGCATGCAAGTTCAAAGCTGTTCATTTCTTAAGTGCTACAATTTTATACCTACTAATACCTAATGTTCATTGGCTTGGTCTGTTTATATTGTATATTTTCTGGAGTTTTACAAGTTCTGTGTTTTGCAAATATTTCTTGAATTTAAATGTTATTTATTTTTAATATTTCAAGATGCATGTTTTTGTATGACACCACTAGTGTTTTATTTCAGTGTCGAGTGTTGCTACCTCATGTTTTCGTTTTTCTTATTTTTTTTGCATGTTTATAAATAAAAGTGAATTATATTCTTTGATTATTTCATTACTTCATATAAAAATTCTGGCAGCAGTATATCAGATGTCTTAACAATATATAGATATGTCTTTTTTTCTTTGTAAAGAGCAAGTCAGCTGAAAGGTGCTCTGGAGATGGAGGTGTTTATATGTTGGCTACACAAAAAACAGTTATCCAGCAGTTGTGCTCTCAAATGGTCTCAGTGACGTACGCTCTGGGTTTCAGCCACGCAGGCACCAGTGAAGAATGAGGAGCTTCGCAAAGCTGAACCGAGCAGAGGGGCCCATGTGTTGGTGAGTGAGCGGTGCAAAGGAGGCGACTTCAAGCTAAAACTGAGAGCAACAGTCCACATTTCATTCATTTCTTTCTACAAGCACCTTCGAAACAAAGCTCGTCAGTATAGAAAAAGGGGTTGCAATAAATCAGGAAAAACAAGATGATAAAAAATATTTTAATTTCATTAGTTTTTTTAAATGAGTAAAATACATCAGATGCATTCCATTACTCATATCAGAAATATATACCACATTTTCATTTGACCCAACCCTGTCTTGGCTTCTGACAGCGTTGCTGTCTGAAACTCTTATTGGTCAGAACTGGGCACATAAAGATGATGTCACAGGCAGGCAACATTGCAGGCGGAAAAAGACAGACCTTAGAAAATGAGGCAGGCATACACCTACTTTACAGCATCATCACCAGATCATTGACAGGCATACTGTATAAAATACAACCATAAATTAACAAGTAATTAGCTATGTACAGTACGATTTAAAAAATAAATAGTCTCATTTCAACTTGGTGCAAATAAAAGTGCTTTTTTTTTTCTCTTTAAAACTGTCAGTCTGATACATTCCTTTTCTATAACTCATCTTCTTGACATCATACAAAATAAAAACACTTTGGTTTGCTTTAAAACAGAGCCCAAACGAAATCTAATGACGAGAAAAGGAGTGAGAGACAGTTTTTGGATGCAATGCCGCACAATAGTCACCACAATTTGCTGGAAAATGACTACATATAGTAGTAGACGCATACACATCAGGTATTCTAGCAATCCCTTTAGGCATTATACAAAGCCATCCCTCACGAGTCACAGAGTGGGTTTGCTGAGGAGGCTGTAATCAGTTAGCGACGTCGCTCTTAGGGGATAGTCTGTTATTGTCTTTCAAGTGGATTCCCTTAACAAAAAAAAAGAAAAAGAAAAGCAGTGGTCCTTTGGAGTGACAGATCTGAGCCTGTTGATATTTAAGCATGGAGATGGATGGGCAAGGAAGGAGGGAGCGGAGAGAGTAGACAGACGAAGTGAGAGGGTGACAAAATAGCAGAAGAGAGCTAGTTGCGGTGGGAAGAGAGTTTAGAGTATAAAGGCAGAGACACAGACAGACACGGGGTGGGGGGGGCAAGCAAAGCTAAAGAAGTAGAGGCTGAGAGATGGAGGCAGGGATCAATAGGATGAGAGCAGACCTCCTCAAATGTAGCCTGTGCTGTGATCTTTCAAGAGATGCTCAGCGAGAAGCCCAGGAGACCATCCCTTAAGACAGGGTCGCAACCCCGCTCACTGACGAATGAGGGAACCGCAGAGAGAGCAAATGGAGGGAAGCATGACGGGAAGAAGGATCTGAAATAGCATAAAACACACACATACACACATACACTCCTCCTTCCCTGACATCTCAGGCCTAAGTCCCCTTGGAGCCTTGTCACACAATGACTTGCTGCTCATCTAGCATCTAAGCAAACTCTACACCAAGTAACAGCTGGCACTTCTGCTGCAACGCACACATACACACACACACACACACACACAGCGACTGGATCTAGGCATCAGTCTACAGCTGGAGGGGAGATACAACTGTAACGCACACCGACACTAAGAAAAGCAACTCGTCTTTGATTGCATAAATGCGTATACGCAAACACTCTTACATACACAGTTCACATATACAAGCCTCTGTCTCTGGAAAGACTGATCAAAGTTGAGCTTTGGGCACAGGAGGTGGGGCAGATGGAGAGGGCGGCCAGCCTGGGGCACAGCATCACAGAAAGCATGTTTGCGTTTGTGTGTCAGTTGTTGGTGCGCGTGTGCCTGAGAGCGGGGAGAATGTTCCTGTTCCAATACAATGTTTTTCATCTGTCAGCGTGTAGGTACAGTAAGGCGTGCGTGTTCGAGATCTCTGAGAGGAACTGCGCGTTTACGCGAGAGGAGGATGTTTGTGCCTCCGAAACACAAGATGCTTAAGCGCAGAAGCATGTGTGCGTGTGGCCGTGAACGCGCTCGCGTGTGGCCACCGAGGAAAACACATGGGGGAGATGAGAGGGAAGGAGACCAGCCTTTCAAACAAGATTAGAGCTGCGGCTGCCTCAAGGCCCGGCTGCCTGACGACACTCTGCATAAACTGGGTGACATCTATATTAACACCACGACGGCGGGCCCAGTCTGCCGTGCCGCCTGACAGAGAGAGGAGGCGACTCATTGAATGACAGAGGATTTTGACATGGTTCAAATGAGTCAAACAAGGCAACAGCTACTGATAAAGTTTTCAGGTGTAACACTAATTGTTTACTACAGACTCAGACCTAAAAAAAAAAGGAAGTTAATCTGGCCATTGTATTAAAGCACAAACAAGCCTTCAGCCTGTTGATCCAGGTTTGTGTTTGTGTAAAAGGAGATATCTGGAGGCTACCACCGTAATTGCTAATCAACTTGGCTGGCTGAGTTAAGTGGAGACAGTCCAAATTACTGCCAGTGAAAGTAACACTGCCACATCCAAGAGGGAAAGGAGAGAAAACAAAACACACTTCAGTAGAAAAACAATTACAAAATATAAACATATTAACAAAATCATTCAATAACTTAAACGGGAGCTTAAAGAAAGAAAGAAAGAAAGAAAATTGAATGCGGTATAAGGCTTCTCCCTTGATAAACACACCAAGTGTCATTTTCTTTTTTTGGAACAGCGAGAATAAATGTTAAACTAATTTTACTTATTGTGTGACACTTGTGGGAAGCTGTCAGAGTGATGGAGAGAAGCAGCAAGGAGAGTGGCTCACACGGCTGATGTAAAGGTCATTTCATCCATCCTTTCCACTTGCCTTTAAAAAAAAATCTAAAGCATTATGGTTACGGTAATAATTTAAGAGGTTTCTCGCACTCATTTTGTTTCATACAAAAAAGGACATTTTGGGAAACGACTGTACACCATGAGTAATTAAATAGGAAAAACGAGTTGAAGAGAATTAAACAGGAAATAAAAACAAAAATGTTAAAGGATAGCTGAGCCGAGCTGCTCCAGAGGAGTCGTCCTCTTGTTCCTCGGTGTCCAGTAATAGACCGAGTGAGGAAAAGTGGAGAAGAGAGGAGTTGGTGGGCGGACGCAGTCATCTACCCGGGGTTGTTTTTCTTCCTTTTATTTGGACTGGGATTGGGATCCAATTTCAGCTCTCGGTACTGCACCTGTTAAAACACATAGAAACACGCACGCACACACACCACCCGGTCAGGTGGAAAGAGCAAAGGATGCTTGAATAGCACAGAAACCCTCCAGAGGCTCTAGTCCAGCTGTGTGGAACAGTGGCCTCAGGGAAGAGATTACACACTGATTACAGCGCGCGCACACACAGATGCGGACGCTCACACGCGCACACACTGACACGATACGTGTGCGCTGTTCAAAGCTCCGACTGCGTGCTCGCTCGCAGATGCACACAAATACACACGTACTTTCACAGATGTGCTACAGTGGCCTAAGGGAAGGGATCACACAAACAAACAAAGAACAGGGCAAGGGCTCATGGGAAAGCTTGGAGAGACAACAGAGTCATTTTGGTATAGCAAGATGGCGAGGAGTGAAAGGGCAGGAAGATGGGAACGAGACAGAACGAAGGAAAAAATGCACCATAACCCGTTCAGAACCAAGGTTTGAATAACCGTTAGCAATATTAATACACTCCTCATCCAATGTAGCTTGATACATACTGCTTTTATATCAGAAGGATTATATGACTTGCTACTAATTTAGGGATAAAGTTACATTTTGATCAAAAGGAGCCAATTAAAAATATCAGCAAACTAAATTCTCTGACCAAATTTTGACTCTTTGCTGTATCATTTTCTTGGCTGAGAGATAAATGAGCACACTGGAGATTTTCGTGGGACAAAATACAATCTCTTCTCCATGTTTCACTCTATAATCAAAGCTGTATCAGTCACAGCCAGACATCTGACATGGAGAGCTTTCCTCCTTCTCAGGAATGAGCGGACAGTATGGATGACATCTACCTGATGAGGCTCCTGCTTCTGGATGGGCTTTCCTACGCTTATCCCAAGTCAGCTGTTAAGTGCAGAACAGCGACATCGTCTAATAACATGACTAAGAAGGCAAAAGGACGATTTTACTTTAAGTAAAGCCCCAATCTGTTGCACATCTGTATACATCATGACCCTATTAGGCCACAACTGGAAGAAGCTGTTTTATATTTTGGGATATCAATTTATTTGCTTTCTTGCTGAGAGTTACACGAGAAGAGCGATACGGCTGTCACATATGTCAGCTAAATAAGGAGCTGTAGCCAGCATCTGGTTAGCTCAGCTGAGAGAAAGAGAGAAACAGCTAGTCCGGTTCTGCCCAAAGCTAATAAAATTCACGTAGTGAACAGATGAGATTTTACAGCTGGTTTTTGCTGTGGATCATTTCTTGATCAGGAGCAGCGACCTCCTGGAGTCTTGTTGTCACCGTTTTAAAATTAGTTTTTTTGTACAAATGAAGTCAACGAGATATAATGTCCTCATTGTGTGCTTTGGAGGTGCTGGCAGGCACATTTTGTTACCTTTGGCAAGCTCTAAGCT